AAGTTCACCGTTCTTTTTCCAACTACAGGTACTATTTTGGTACAGTATTTTTCATACAGTTTGATCTCAACAAAATGGTTTTAAAAAAATCATAAATTAAAGTGAAAGTGTTCGTAAACTAAGTAAACTTTGAATGTATATATCGTGATAAAATTTAGACATTTATAAAAAAGTGTGTATTTGTGTAAAATTAAAAATAAATATTACAGATATGTTTTATATTATATAAATAAAAAAATGTTATAAATAAGTATATAAATTGAAGTTGCGATGCCAAAACGTTTCGCCGTGGTTGAAACTCACGTTAAGGGATACTACTAACACGGCATTTCGCATTACGTCAGAAATTGTAGAACTTTTTTTCACGCATCGCAATATTATACGAGCGAGAGGTCTTGAGGTTTAATTTTTGATTTATCGTTTCAAAATTATATTATTTGCTTCAGTCAAAAATACAAAACAAATGTCTTACAAAAATATCAGCACGCACAAAACAGTCAAAAAATTTTGTGAATGAAAAATTTTTGTTAAAACAATGATAAGAGATTTATCTATCAAAAATATGTGCAACATTTTTAGTAATGTTTATTACAATTATTTAGCAAATGCAAATTAAGTGAGTTTTAGGAAAAAAACTGAATCAAAATTTAAATGCATGAAATGAAAATATTATAAAAAACAAATGATAAGAACAAATATTTATATTATAAAAGTTAAGCGAATTATCAATAATACGTAATTGTTTCGTTCAGTCAAATGCAAATTTTTTATTAAGTAATAAAGTAAAGTAAATAAAAATTTAATAATTTACAGAAACAAATGTGGGGCAATCTTTCTTGCTGCTTAAATTTTAAACTTGGCCAAATTATTCGCAATGAGGCATTTCAAGAAGATGATCTTCGAGAATTGGCTGATTTGACTACTAATGCAAATATTTAATTTCTGATATCATAAATTATTTAGCATAATTTGAATAATTTTATGCAGCTCAAATTAATAATATCTTCAATCATATTTAAATAAGTTAGATAAAAAGCAAACAAATTTGATAAATTATCCAGCAATATTTTGCTGATCAAAATACTTTTACTATTAATTTTTTTGATTATTTGCTGCTAACTGTTAACTTTTTCAGAATAATAAGTTAACAATGACTTGATAACTTGATTTATTACACGCAAGGAATTAATTTGAATGTCAATGCAAAAATTTAGAGATAATGAAAGTTTGATGGCAATAAGATAGTTTAAAAAAAGTATTTGAAGATAATAGCATATTATTTGAATAATTTGAAAATAAGAAAGATAATTTGCATATTTAGCGTAGTACACTGAAAACATTGAAAAATAATTCAAAATAATTCAAATAATATGATATAAATTTTAAAAGATGTATATGAAACAAATTAAATTCATTTGTTTAATTGTTTTATCTTGTTAGCTTATTCGAAATAATTTAATCGAATTCAAAAAAAAATTCTAAGATTCGAAATTGCAAATTTATGAATAATAATTTTTTTAATGCGATAATGTTTTAGGTAGCATGCGCAATCCAACTCAGTCCAAAACAAGTACCAAATGTTGACGTTACTTTTTCACGTACTGTTATTTTATTCAAATTTCCGGCAATTAATAGAGTTCGTTTTTAATTATTTTTATAAAATTTATTTATGCATTTTTAAATTCTTGCACTTATTTATTTTTTTTCTTATTATTATTAATGATTATTTAAGGCAAAAACTGTGATCAAAGATTTCAATCAGTCACGTAGTTTTTGGATGGAGCAAAGATCTCGTGAAATGAGGAATAAAGATAAAACTTCGTCAGATTCACCTAGAAATTCAATTTTAGTAATGCTTTTGAATAACAATTATGATAAACTGAAATCAGCTATGAATCTGACTTTGATATACGTGTAGATATTTTTACGTCACACATTGATTATTTGTTTTATATATGAAAATATTTGGTTTCAAAAAATGTCTAACTGAAAACATATTATTACTACTGATTCACATATAATTAAGTATAATGATCCATGTCCAGTAACTTAACATTTTTAGAATTATTCAATTTAATTACTCCACAACATCAAATAATATGAAGTACTTATTATAAAATTCACGTCCTTTGGCCTGGGAAACTATTTGGAAATAATGATGTAACATATTATTTATAATAATAATAATAATAATAAAAATAATAATAATAATAATAATAAGTTCGGTGCTTTTGTAGGATGCAACGAACAATTTAGTTATGAATATTACTATATTGTTTCGCGATCGAAGTGTGGTTTGTATTCCACTTTACAGTAATAAAAACCGTCCATTCACGTCGGCTTTGCTATTTGGATTAAAAGATGCGGAAGTGGGCGTGAGTCTACTCGGCAAAACCAAAGCTGAAACCAAATTTACAGATTTCAAAATTGTTTTTGCGGAAAATTTTGAACACGTAAGTGTAATTCATAATTAATTCTTGTAGTGCGTTATACTGTTCCAATTGCGTTCTTTTTTGGTACCGCAAACCACGGAAATGATGTATTGAATTATTGATAACATTATTATCATATTAATTCCGAATTAATATGAAAGCCGAATTGGATTTGCAAAGTTTATAATTAAGTTATGAAAATTCTGCAAATGCTTTAAACAAATCTTAGTGAGGTACACGTTAGTTTCATTTGTCATTTAAAAGTCACGTAAGTGATACTGTTAGTCAATGGACGAATGTTGGATTAATGGTCAAGAAACAACGCCAACTAATTTTATGCTTTTCCCACGTGGTATCTGTGAATTTCATCTCAATACAGTAAAAAGTGAAAGAACTCAACGTCGACGTTTGATTGCATCAGTTCATTGCTCAATAAAAGGATTAACTTTTGACCTTGATAGCGTAAGTTACTTGCAAGAAATAAAGTTTGAAAATTAATAATAATAATTATTATTTTGATTGAAGCCATAGTGATTATTATTAAAATAAAACTAACAGCTAATATGCATAATTTCATAAATCTTTCATGAATCTCTCAAATAAGTTGTTATTATTTACTATTGACCTAAATATTAATAATTTACTTAGATACTAGTAATTCCCGCCTTTTTTTCTCATTTTTCGTTTTTGTCATTGGTTGTAGTTAGAATTATATCAAACAGGAATAAAAAACAAAAAAGTTTCAGTTAAAAAGAACTGCTCTCATCACATCATATTCAAATATTAATATATTTGGAGAGTATTTGAAACTTTTTTCTATTTGGACAAATTTGAGTGGAATTAGTTTGAATTTAATTTTACTTAAATACTAAGTTTTTAGAAACATTGCTGTTGCGTAATATTTTTCTAAACATTTTATTAATTAATTAATTAACTAATTAATTTATAAATCATTGTTTCCGATTGATTATGTGCGAAATAAATTGCAGTTTATTACAGAGCATCGGAAACTTAATAGGTGCTGTGAAGAGTACTTGTTCAGCAGTTGATGATGATCAAGACCTAGATCCGAGTGAATACAAATCCGTGAAGACTTGTTTAGACGAAGTTGCATACAATGATGACATTGATTCTAAAAGCGAATTCGCATCACTAGTCAAACTAGAAAGTAGAATTCGCTGGGTGGAGAACAAAGTTAATTTTTTATTTGCCAATTAAATTAAGTGAAAATTTTTATTTATTTTTCCAAATTTAAAATAGTTCTAATAATTTCCCCTTGTCATGAAGCAAATACAGCATCATTTACACACGATTAAACTTTATAGTTATCATTCATTTAAGGAAGATAATATAATAATATATTGTTAACCAACGATGTTATCATTACTGTATCAGCGCTGTGCTATCACGGGAAAAAAAATATACAACGACAATAATAATAATTTTTTTTCTCCTAAAAATATGCGTGAAATATTTTCTTTGAAAATATGTGTGAAATATTTGCAAGATTATGCTCAAGGACATAAAATTTTGCATATAATTTAAATACAATGACGTTAAAATAAATCATTGAATATGAAAAAAAATGCAGATTTTCGAACAAACACGAAAGCTGACGGGAATACGTTTGCAAAAACCAACGGATGCCACGTACGAATGGGAATTACGACGTTTGAAGAAACTGCAATTAGTTCGAGTGAAGCAATTCAAGGAATCAATGCTCGATCGTTTGAAGCGAAATAAACTTCGAGAAAAACACTTTAAAAAAACAAACGTTATCAAAGTAATGCAAATTTTGTGCAGTAAGTATGTTTGATCTTAATTGGATCAGTAATGAGAAGGACGAAAATAATTGCAGTATACTGAAAGGAAAAATATTAAAACTTAATCAGCATCTCAAGTAATAATAAAAATTGCTAAGTAATATCATTTGGGATAGTTTGCAATTTGGATGTGATTACAGACTAAGCTAGAAGATGTAGGAGAAGGTGAAGAAGAAGCAAACGAAGAATCAGTGTCAGTTACCGGGGAATTATCGACGGAATCTGTTAAAGATTCAGCAGTTTTGAAGCCACCAAGTAATATTGCAGCTGGCACAGCATTACGGCAACTTGAAATGATTGCTGAGATGAAAGATAACATCGCAAGAGATGATAACGTCATTAATGATAAGCTTGCGATAGGATTTGATATGCGAGTAATATATGATTACTTTCGCATTACTATTTCTTACTTTATAACCTTTGTAGATTTTATTAATTGTGTGATACTTTGATATTTCAATCTTAATTCTTTGCATATCCAAGCTGTAAACCATTTAAATACATTTTGATAATAGCTGATAACTTCAAAAAATAATTCAAATATTAAATAAAATTAAATACATAAAAAATGAAAAACTTTTTAATGCAAAATATATTTTGATCATTATTTCATACAGAAAATTAATATTTTGAATGTCTGTGAATATTTTGCAGTTTTCTATGGAACTAAACTCAAGAAAAAAAAACGATCAAAACCATATTATTGTCAAACAAATTACCATTGTATTTGAAAATTTAATATATTTTTGTAGTTTTTCGGTGAAGCTGGCGAATGTACGCTACGAAATAGAACGTTAACGGATGCTATGAGTACTGGTAGTACGCTTAATGTCGACAAAAGAAGTTCAAAAGACAAGAATACAGAGTTCACGCGAATGTCACTGCCAAGGTTGAACCTGTTTGCTAATGAAATTCTTCATAAATTATTATTGAATTATAATATGGAAAGTTTTGCACAAATATTTAGTCATTTTTTGATTCATAGGAAAAATTATTATATTTTAAGTATTTGAATTCCATACTTCTTATTTAATAAATATTAAAATAAGTGAGATTAAATATGAAAATTCATTTATATTTTCTCGTTAACTGGATAAAGCTTGTGCATCTTTCCAGCCTAGAAGCAAAAGCATATTATTCTTCTGATGATATCATCAAAAAACCACAAACTATGTAAGTTTTTCGAATTTTCATAAAAATTAAATCAAGCAACTTTTTTAGAAAATTTATTACTTATATTGTTGGTAGCAATAATTGCATCATAATACTGAATGGGATGTAATCAAGCTTCATAATTTAGAATAAAATCAAAACAATCACTGAAAAAGGCCGGAAATCTGATGCCGTCTTTGTACATCTCTGCGAATGTCGCTAATATGCCGCAGGAGACAACTTTCACTCCACTTATCGCAGACTTTTTGCAGGAGTTTCTAGAAACATTACCACATAACATGCCACTTCAGGTACCATAAATACATGCTACAAGAGCTGTTTATAAATTTTTCACGTTCACGTCAAAAATTAAATATAGATTTGTGCAGTTTTTAGGCTTTGATCGGAAAAATACCAAATATAAGTCTAAAAAATAACACCGAACACCAATAAATATTAATTATTTTTTAGTAAATTAGTGCTTATATGATAACTAAACGTGTAAAGAACGTCAAACAAAAAGCTGTGTTTTTCAGCATGAAAACGAAACTGACACATTTAGCATGACGGATACGGAATCATTACTGACTGGGATTGATTCTAAATTGATGGTCAACATTTTACTAGCCATTACAATTCAGTCAAGTGCTATTCGTTTCGAGGCTCGTCAGCAGGTTTTAACATTCATGTTTTTCACGTAAGATATAAATCATCTAAAATGATTTTAAAAAATGTGTTTTCTTAAGAATACATTTGTCGCATTTTTCATCGCTTGAATGATTCATGAATTATGCATTTAGCACGACGTGCACTAAAATTTACTCACATTCGTAATATTTCAAAGTAATGCCGACGTGATTTTAGTTTCATGCACACACACTAAAATTCTGCGAATACGTGTTTCTTTCACGCAAATATTTCGTGTATACATATGAACAATCACGTTTGCTCATATATAGATGCTTGGAATTTTTTTGTACGGTTTGATGGGTAGAACTATCTGATTATACATGCCTACTTTTAAGCACTATATTATCAACTAAAATTTCTTGCAGCGACTTGGCGCTATGGATTTATTATTACAGTTACCATCTTTGAAGCTTATTGCTTCATGTAGAAACAGTACTGTCAAGAATGATTTGCATGTTTCATTATGTTTACGATCTTTTTCGGTTTGTTTCTACAACCCTCATCAGGTTTGTTTCAAATTTACTGTCTATTTTTAGTACAAAAACATGGTAGTTTTCAAACATATCATAATTTGTGTAATATTTGTCTCCCAAATTGAACCTGGTAAGGAAATACGTTTGAACGAGTTATATAAAGTGGATTAAAATTTTAAGCTTACAAATCTACTCTATTAATAATGTATTACTTTTCATAAAAAATACTGTCGTTGTATTGGAGTTCTGAAAATATTTCAGAAATTTTTATAAGCTTTAGAATATTTAATAACTTATCCATAAATGATTGTATTTTATTGCTACTAAAAAGAACGAACAAAATGTCTATATTTATTTTCAAAATTTCGAATACAAAAAATTTTATACAGTACTTAATTACTTTAATAATTTCAAAAATTTAATAATTATTAAATAATACAAATTGAGTGAACTCAAATCATCCCTTATAGCCTTCTCCATTAGATGCGTTGTCGCTTACATTGGATAGATTCATGGTTGCCATCTCTCGTTCAAGCGTACTTTTATACAGTTCTACGCACGTGAAGGTTTTTTTCTTGGGTTTCTATTTTTTGTCAGGGAAAAAACAAATATCTACATAACTATATATATATTTGTTTTTAGATTTTTGTTATATATTAAAATATATGCATAGTTACGTAGATATTTTATATATATTTAGTTAAACGCATTTATGAGTCGTTTTTGTGAATTAAAAAAGTTCCAACAAAATTATAATTTTTGAAAATATTCAAAAGAATTTTATAGATAGCTAGCATAATTGATATTGGTCAAGCAACTTTTACATATGATATGCGTAAACTTTCTGAACTGATCGCTTTCCCACGTCCGTGGTATCGTAAAGCTATCGCGCAGCGTTTACTTCTCGGACGTAATCAATCAACAAAAGCTGCATCCACAACTCATTCATCATCGTATTTTATCTCTATAACAAATCAAATTTTATGCTGATTCTTTCAATCAGTCAATATAATTATACCTGTTTTTTTTCTCAATTTTGAAATTATTAAGTATTTTTTAACAAAACTAACAAAAGTATTTAAAGTATTATTGCAATAAAGATAAGTCATGACTTGCTTCTATGTGCTATTACGACAAGTTATGGAAAAATTACTTCAGTTCGCGACCAGGAACTAAAACAAAGAATAAGTTAGTGCTTGAAGCATCAGTGAAAGTTAAGTGGGAAGCCTTCAATGCTAAAATTCAAATGTCCAGTGCTATGGGTGACACTAATTGGATTATTGGCAATATTTCTGCAAATATTATATTTTCGGTCAATTTAGCACACTTTTATTAATTATTTATATCCAAAAAAATAAAAAATAATCCTTAAGAAAAGTAATAATTGTTATTATTTATATATCATATGAAAATTCGTCCAAAATAATAATGCTAATTGATTACAAAAACTTCAGATTTTAATTAATATTTTTAATCAACTTGTGTTGATATTTTAAATACTTTGTTGAGAAAGCAGTAGTTGTTCAAATTATAAGTAAGATTAAAACTTATCAATTAAAATTAAATTTTTTTTATTCAAGTGATACTAAATTTGATTAAAGCAAAAATCGCATATAGTTTTTCACTGATACCAAATACTTTTGTAAATGATTTAATTAGTCTGTTCCGTTTACAATGTTTGTGATTATTTATAATTTTCTGGTTTTAAATATTTTTTAAAATTTGTCTACTCTAATTTTTGTGATCAAAAATATTGCTTTCATATCAAGCAGATATAAGTTGAATTTAAAAAATTTAGAAACATCAAATTACTTAAATTTCTTTACTTATTCAAAAATTAATCTTTATCGAATATTTAAAGTATTTGATGAAATTTTTTAGCGTTTTGGTACAAATTTCAGCTTCATCCTTCTGTAGAACGAAAATTAAATATTCATTTTGCTTTGGGGCTTATGACTCATGAAGCTAGCGGTGGTGCCATCTCAGGAACTCTACGAATGACAAATACAGCATATTATTTTACTTGGACTTCCCTCGATAACGTTTGTCTTTTCTGAATCCATATTGAAGACAGAATTTTTCACGAAAAAAGAATTAAATTAATGTCAATACAAAATAACTTCTTTTCCAAAATAAGCACAAACTATTCATGATAAGCACATAAATTATATCTAAGAATTCTATAAGTAATACAAAAAGAATATCAAAAAAATAGCATTATCAGTTTTATAACTATGGATTTTGTGCATTTTCTGGATGATAAATAATTTTTTACTGCGTGATGTTCTTTTGCTCTGTAATTCTGAAGCTAATTTCTTTAGAAGCCATCATCGTTTTCATCAAAAATTAACTTTACCGAATTAGAAATGCGAATTAATTGGATGAGTCGAACAGTTGTTGTAGCTATCTTTGATCAGCCATCGCTGTTGATCTACGATGAATGGAAGTTATATTATGACCAGGAAGGAAAAGTAGCACAATTTTTTACTAAATAACACTTTTTATCAAAATTCTTCCAGAAGCTTTCATAAAATTGATTATTTGAACTTCTTGAAAGTTTTATTTAAACTATTTAGACCGAAATGTAGTTAGCACTAAGAATATAGAAGAAATTGCGCGCGATCATTTGACTAAATAGTTTGAACTAAATTTAAAATTTTTACTTTTTTTAGTTGAGAAAAAAACTATTTTGAAAGTAAATGCTCAAATTTTGTATTTCTTTGATTACAAAGCTTTCTCTGAAATTTTATATCACTTTTTAAGTTTTTAATTTGAAACTTTTAAAATTATCATACAGTAATAAGCAATTGAGATTATATTTTCGATTTTTGTTTGGAAGCAAAGAAAGTGATGCTTAAATTCACCATATAGAAGCAAAGAGCACTGTATGAGGATTTAGAAAATCCTTTCGTTAATTTGATCAGTTGAGATTGATTTTGAAAGTACTGAAATTTGTTGCTTCATAAAAACAGTAATTATAGGTGGAAAGAGCGAAAATAATATTTAATGCAAGCCTGAATTATTGTAAAGTACAGCTTGTTATGACAAAAGTTACATTAGGTAGCATTGGTAGCATCGTACAAAAGCTCAATGTGTTTTTCAAGGTTTTATTTTATTTTTAATAAAATACATCAGAGCGAGTACAAATACAAAAAGTACTATCAAGTTCTCATATGAAATTTAAATTTAAAAACTGATAAATAATAAAAATTAAAGTCCGAAATACATAACTTATACTGAGATTATTTGATTTTAAAATATAAAATAGCAAATTGAAGATGAAAAATCATAAAGCACAGATAAATGAGTGTAATAATAAAATAATACAAAAATTCAATGAATAAGAAATAATTATTACATTTATTGGTTTTTAAAAAAAAAATTAAAATAAGAATATTGGCAGGAACAAATACGTGACAGTCAAGCGTTTCTTACGACTACGAGCACCACGTCAAAAGTAATAAATACTGTAAAATCGCCAAAAATGTTTCATTGGGCAAAAGTCTTAGATTTGGTCACAGATATTCAAATGGGAAGTCTTGTTTTTCCCCTGCCAAATGCTAAAAATGGCAGTACTATTGTTGGTGCACGACTTGTATTTGCCGGAGAACAAGCATCTCTTGTTCTTATGGACGGGGAAATTACGGCTAATCGGTTTGAATATATACTTAACATAATTCAATTATTCAATTGTATTTCAATCCCTATTTCAGAATATAATTGAATTATTCATATATATTCTAAAATATAACTAATTAATATGTAAATAAGTCATTGAATAAATAAAAATATAATCTGCAAAACTTTAACAAAAAATTTGCATAAATTCCATATTTCTCGCTTAGTATACGGTATATCAGTTAAAATAATTTAAATAAAAATAAATAATCAAAATTGTTAATTTTAAATTAGCAAATTAAAACAAATCTATATTTGTTTGCTTCAAAATTTATTACCTAAATATATTATATATCAGTTGAATTGGAAAAATAAGAAAAAATTATCAATTACTTTTTTCAAAAAAACCACTGCTATTGAAAAAGTTTCCATGTGATTTGATAATTTGTGCTCAAAACATGAATTCGGATAGGCTAATAATTTTAAGCTAATATCTTCTGTAAATACGAATTTCACGGGTAATCGAGACAGGCTAACAGTTATATCAATTAAAAGTTTAACCTTTAATTCAAAAGAAAATAAAGTAAAAGTGAAGTGAAATTATTTATTTTTATTTAAACTTAAATTTCAAACAATCATTTAATTAGCAATGATAATTGAGTACGTCTCAAAAATATGCTACTTTTATTTAAAACTTCAAATTTCAAAAAATCATTTCCTTTATAATAATTATTACAAAAAAAAGTCTCATTAAATACTAAAGATTTAAGTATAAATAAGCATTTATTATGAATCTAACATTTCTGACTACGAAGTACTCGTCTATTTGTTCAGCCAAAAAAGATAAGATTCAGTTTCAAGAAGTCAAAGTTCAAAATGAGCTTTTTAATTGGATTTGTCTGATATTAAATTATCAGTTTTTTTTTCTTTAGATGGGCATTGTTTTATTTAAATCATCCAACGTTAATTTTTTCAAATATTGCGCAGTATGCATTTATTGATGAAAAACAAACTGTTGGCATCGATTTGAGGGAAAAATTTTTGCTAAAATTAAGCGGCTTAACCAAGCAAACTAAATTACATAGCAATCAGTGGACAAGTGCTATTTGCAAAGCTGAAGTAAATATTTACAATTTTTATTTTATAAATTACAAGCAATTAAAATTTTGTATTTTAAATCCATTTTATTAATTAAGTTCGATGATTATTTATGCTTATTCAAACAAAAGATTACAAAAAAAATATTTAAAATAGTTATCAACAAATTTATAAACTAATTTTTGCACTGCTTTAAACTGCTAATTCCTTTTAAAGTAACTTCCTGAAAGTATTTAAAAATGTTGAGTACATTAAATTTAAATATTGCAAAGTAATTTAAAATTGCAGAAGATTACTTTAAGCTGAGCTTTAGCTAATTTTTTTAGCCTTTAAGTTTGAAATTTTGTTCCAAACCTGAAATGGTAATATCAAACAAAACCTTTATTAGCATTCTAGTCATTTTAATTTAAAACTATGATTTATCAATTTTTACTTTAAATCGCCTCTTACTAATTTGCCCTATTCATTTTCACGTAAGTACGTAAAAATGATGCGTAGTCACAACTTGATTAATTGATATAATTTGAGCGCCGTCAAGGGCAAACTTGGCCAAAACAATCAACCGTTCGAGAGTGTCTAATGAGTCGCATTGATGATGCCTTGACGGAACTGTTCTCCCCAAGTCAAGACTCAAACAAACCATTAGTCCTTGAATTATTCGAGTAATGATTCTCTTACACATATAACCATCTAATCTTTTTCATAATTTTCTTTTACACCGAAATAAGCTAGTAAAAATTTACGTCTCATTAATTACGTCTCATTAATTTTAGATTGCCCGCATTGGATTCTGTCTTCACAAGTTTTCAAAAAGTATCCATTGACTGCGATGAACTACGCAATGTTAAATCTAAAGTTAGCTTTGCAGAAAGTAGATTGGACTTTAACAATTATTTGAAGAGTTAATTAATTACACGTATAGACATTCATCTTCTCATTAGCATTTAGTTGATAATATCAGTGAGTTATTAACAACATTAATCAGGATAATACTGTAAATCAGAACAATAATATAAGTAATAAGCTGAAGTAATGAGATCATTTCAGGTAGTATCTAGTCTAGTGTGTGATTTTCATTATGCTCTTGGAGTTCAAACAGATTTCACGGCACAAGTTAGCTTCTTACCTGAACTGTTACGGTCTTACTTGATCGAAATGGTACGACATCAGATTAATTTGTTTCGTTCAATAATATTAATATTTTTATTAAAGAAAGTCATAACATAAGTACAAGTAATTAGACAACGCAAAGTCAAGCAGTTATCTCGTGATATTATGAAGACCTGGAAACGTATTATTCTTACACCAGGACAAAAGAAATCAAGAAGAATCAAAAAAGTTATCAAACAAACAAGGTGACGAGCAGATCAAATGTGATCAACGTCAATATATTTGTAAAGAGTGGAAAGTTGATCCGAAATTGCGCTTTATCGATAAAGTAAAGTGGGATCCACCGGTTATCGATGATATTCTTCGCAAGTTACAAGTAAACTTAATGAATTGCATAAACGTGTGCATCATTACCTTTATTTCACGGACATCATAAATTTTCAAAGTAGGTACAATCTAACAAAAATATTCAGACTCAAGAAAGCATAAAAAGTAAGCATCAAATGATGAAAATTATGCTAACAATTAATTTTCAATGATTCTAAGACTGATTTTTCACGCTTAACTCACCGCCTTTCATAACTTTGTATATATTATATAATTCAATAATTCAGTATTGACAATTCAGTTTTTATTAATCATATAAACCAAAATAGTTATATTTACAGTTTAAACACAAGAAATTACTTCGATTAATCTGAAAAAAATGAAAAAAAAAGAAACAATGTAACTATTATATAACTATTTACTTGTTACGTTGTTTCTTTTGGCAGTGGAAAGCAATAACTTTCTTAATCACATTTGTCTGAAATTTCAGATTTTTGATCACAGAAATACAATACCAAAAGTAGTACAAAGACATGCCCTCGACCAGTGCGATGTATTCGCATCGAAAGCATTGTTTCTCACAGTGAAAACTGCAAAAGACGCATCCATAAAAACTAACGTAAAATCACGCCGAAATCCACCAGACGCCATGCGTTGATTAAAAATTACTTGTAATAAGCCCTCCTATTTTTTGTATTCAATCGTTGAATTAACTTGTAATTAAGAGATAGAAAAAATTTATTCAATTTTTGTATTACATTTTTAATAACAGTGTTATCCATAACAATTAACAATTATGAAAAAAATGATGCTTCGATGAACGAAACGATTTATCGTCAAGCATCAGTATCATAGAGACAATGAGGCAACCAAACACAGCTTAACAAAGTTCAGAAACGTTCAAAACATGGATATAAAAATGTAAAATTACAAAAACTTTCTAGTATCAACTCTTTACAAACAGTCATCAACAAATTACCGGAACTGAACACGACAAATTAAACAAAGTTTTTCCATTTTGTAAATAGACGAAGAGTGCTAGACACGGAATTCCAAAAATTGCAGCTCCAGTTACACCGTCATTTACATACAGAATAGTGACTAATCACAAGAAATTTTACAATGCTTAGAAGTATTTGAATAAAAATCAAAAAATTATATCTTGGTGAAATATTCAAACTATTGTAGAAATGTCGACAACGAATTTTCTGCTACTTGGTCTTCATTTAGTAGCCTTCGATTTAATGCCACATGTAACTGTCGTACAACTTTCAGACCAATATTTATCATTTCTTCTAAAACTGCAAACATAGGCAAGACATATTAATCTAGATAGAGCGCAAATTTCAGCTGACACTCATCATAATTTTTATATCTCGGTATTAAACTATTCATCAATAATCAAGTGATTGAATTTCATATTATTTTTTCAACACCAGTTAATCCTCACGTTCATGTAAAAAAAATGAGGAAGCTGGACGTAATGAGCAATTATTGCTCTTCGTGAAAAGTATTTTCTTTTAGAATTTTAAGATACTGTCTAGTTCTTTTTTCAAAGGAAAAAAAGGTAACCAACCAAGGGAATCCATTTCAAAAGTGCCACCCCCACACTGTCTCATATACGTTATCATGCAGTCATCGTATGTTTCTCGCGACTGATCATCTTCCTCAAAATTTTGGCCAAATCCCATTTTTGTGAAAGTAAATGTAAGAAACTTGATCGCGTAACATTATACTTCAACAACTGGGTAAAACTGAATATATCACTATTGAGTGTTTGTTTCATGCTACTTTTCGAAAATATTTAAAGATTATCGAGGCAGAAACTCCAAGTCTTATAATATTTAATACATATCTACCGTATAAATTCTGAAGTACTTTTTACATACTTCAAAGGTGTTACTGGAATTAGAGTGAAGAAAACCAGCAAGCCAAATGGATGTGCAAGTACAGGACTCTTCGGCCAATGAATTGTCAACAATTTTTGCAGTTCCTACTCTATTTACACTGACAAAAAGTGGTACCCTGCAATGAATACTGGATTAAAAACTGCCATTTTGGCAGTTAAAACCTATATGTACATGATACAAAGATACAAACTTAAATAAAAACAAGATAAGTACTTCGAATAATTGGAATAGAGAATAGTTTGCTAGAATACTTGTTTTTGCTTAATGCGTTAATTTATTAACACTTTGTTTCGTAGCTGAATTCATAAACAATAAAACCAGCATAACTTGAAAAAGATTTCAAGGAATATAACTTCTATTATTCAATATAATAATTAACATATGTAGATGATGAAAATTACCTGGACACATCAAACTTCCATAATTTATACTTTTTGGGTAAATCAATCATAAACTTTCCTGCATCAGCTGGTCTCACCAGTACTTCACAAATTTCAGTGTTTCCCAAAGCTGCTTTAATCTGAAACGATAAATAAAATATGTTACCAAATAAGTAACGCAAAACATACATAGTGATTGCCTGAAGTTTAATCTTCATTCCTTTAACTGCAAGCACTTTCTCATTTGATACATAGGAGCAGGAAAGAACAATGGGAAAAACAAATTCTTAAAAAACCAACGCTACTGACCCCCAAACCTGCTGCATCAATTACATTCCCATCACACTGCAAAATAACAATATCAACAAAAAGTCTCCACATATGCATTGGTGATAGAATCAATCTGTAAAAAATAAGATATTAAAAGTATAATACTTGATGGAAATACCAATTGTTACTTTTACAAACACTTAATCATTATTTACGTTTTTTCTTTTTGACGGAAAAAAATACTTTTTCAGATCTGGAACTACATAATCATTGTCGAAAGCAGCATCTAACGCTGCACTTAATTCATCCGCAAATTCCTCACCACCACGGCCTAAAGTATCAAAATATTCACCATGTTGTTCAAAAAAATTAATATTCAGATTTGACATAAATGTCATTAAGAGATTAAATTAACATCAGTAAGAAATTTAATAATAACAAGGTGGCAAGAGGAATTCAATAAATGTCTATTTAGCATTCATCCAATTATTTTTACACATTTATCTAATTCTGAAAATCTAAAACAAATCTTTGTTAAAAAGAGAAAGTCAAACTGTTAAATTACGATATCAGTATTTTACAATAAAGTTAACATCTAGACAACTCTATTCTGTTAAGAGAATGAAAAACTGAGAAGAGACCTGAATCAATTATTTCAAATGCAACGTACCAGCAAAAAGTGGGGTGGCATTTGCTGAACAATCAACAAAAAAATTTAGTCGATTTCGACAAAAAGCAGTGTTTTGAACGGTGACTAAATCAGCTTTGATTCCAATTAATAAATCTGTCGAGCCTATGCGGACACGAGCCGAACCATTTGTTGTTGGCAAAACACCCGTTTGAACTATTATAGGTCGGTAATCCAATGGTCTAAAATGATTTTAAAAAGCACAAAGTACATTTCAAACCAGCAAAAAAAATAACCTTATTTCAAACAGCTGAATTTTTAAATTATTGTAGTACATTATGAATTTAAAAAAAGCTCAAATCTGCTTTTTTCAACGTGATTAGATTTCGTTCTGGGACAAAATTTAGTTTTCACAATTAGATTTAAAAAAATAGAATCATTTTTTTTTTTCAAAAATTAATAAAGATACATTTTTCTTCAAGAATTTTCAGTAAATGCCTGCATCATTCTTTATTTTTCACGAATTTTATTTTAAGATATTTGAAAGCAAAAAACTATTATTATTATGAAAATATCTATGAAAAAAGAAAAAGCAAGAATGTTCTTACTTCGATTTTATAGAATTTTAAAATTTCAGAAAGAATATCAAATAAACAAAAAAAATTGCTCAGAAATTTAAATGAAAAAAAGAAAAATGCATCACTTACCCACGTCCATCGGATCGCAAACCTTCCTGCGCTCCATGTACAATGAATACCTTTTCTGCTTCACTTAAACGAAGTTCCATTTTTCTAATCAAAATAAAGTTTTGTGATTATCAAACACCTAAAATTGACCTCTAGCATGACGACGAAATAAAAAAACCAGAAAAATAACCTCCGAAACCACGCAACTACTTCAACTTTACGCTCAACAAGGGCATCAATTCATTTTCCAAATCACTCTCGAGACTAATTTTTTCAATGAATGCAAACGTTAGATCCTGCATCAAATTTTCAAATTAAAACTTATTCTTTATCAAAATTTTGCATTCGGAATTACCCGAGGTTCTGGATGATTTTTCTGTGGTTAAAGTATTTCAATCGATAATATTTAGATATTAATCTTCAAATTTTTTCTAACTTATATGTAAGTATTTCTAACTTATATCCAGTACGTATTTCTAACTTTTGCTTTTAATATTCGAAAATTAAGACTAAAATTTATGCCAGAGTTTTCGAATAGGAGATGGGTTTTTTACCATGAAAAGTTAATCCATAATCTTGATTTTATGTTCAACTCCTCGAAGTTGTAAAACTAAACAAAAACATATTTGGGAGAGATTAATTTTGAGATAGAATCAGTGATTAGGAAAATGGATTATTTAGTGATTGTGTAAAGAATTGTATCATTTTTGCAGATTTTTAATTGTGTTCAAGAATATGGATCGATGCTGTGATGTTTGAAAATCAGTATATTGTAATCAATTTCAATCAGAAAAGAATTTGTCCACATACTGTAAATAAATTTAACAATATTTCACATCGTATTGTTAGAGATAACATTAAGAGAAAAAAAAACAAATTTAGTTTATCAAACTTTTTTAGATCAATAATTTTTGATCTGCGCGGAAAGGTGTGAAAATTGTTCAAGTGTAATTTTTGGAAATTAAATTTCTTTGTATTTGAGAGTTTAGTAATTAGGCACAAAGATTTTCTAGTCAAAAAAGAACTAATTTCAGATTTCATTACTGAACTCAATTTATTAATGCGTTGAAAACTAATTAACATATATTTATTCCAAGAAATATGGAAGAATTAAAAATTTAGTACAGGATAGATTGATGTGATTCGGGTAGAGTCTAAAAATAGTCTAAATTACAAATAAGCACGATTAAGGTATAACCAGTTCATATGTCTGATGTGAATTAATAAAAAACTGATCGTTTTAGAATTTTATCTCCTGTGTGTTATAAATAAATGAGTTGATTAATTTTTTTAAAATTATGAATAACTTGCAGTGTGATTTAGATCAAAAAATTTTTGAATTTTCATGAGTATAGTGTCCGAAAGTTACCGAAATCTGGCTTTTAGAAATTTTTGAATTGAAATCTAAAATGACTATGATTTATTTTTATGACATTAAATTAATTAAGAGTAAAGTTTTTTTTTTCACGAATTACTAACTAAAATTTTGTAGTACAAGAAAGATTTTAATTCTTATGCTTGGCTTGAACGTTGTATATGAGTTGCTCGTTCTTCGCCATCACGGCTGTAGAGAATGGTATGAACATTTGTGCCAGACCCAAATGTGTCTTCTCCCTCAAAAACGAGCTGTTCTGGTGGCGAGGAAATCCCGTGACCTCTCGCAACAATCTGTAAGTTATTTCACTTTATTTAAATAAATTTAAAATTAGTATCATAAATGAAGAAATTGCTGTTAGTTAGTTACTTTTATTGATATAAACTTTTATCATATTTTGCAAACAATTTTTATTTTTATTTGTGGTTTTACTCTATAATCTCATTTGTTTATTTGACTTCTCTTCGTTATTTTTCATACTTGAATTATTATTATTCCTAAAATATACAATGATTAGAAAACGTTTCATATTTACTAACTTAAGTATAAATAAACTAAATTAATATTAGGCACCATTTATGACCTCGTGGTAATTTTTAAAATTAAATTTTGAAAATTCAAATGTAAGTTTCAGATCACAGTGTAATATTCAGATTTATGCATTTTATCGCCTTCTATTTCATTAGAATTGTTTTCATCGCATAAATAAATGAATATCTTCTATTTATGTTTATTGTTTTATTCATGAATAATTATTACTCTCACAACAGCAATAACTTTTACATCTCCCAGAATTTTTTCCTTTCATTTGTTATTATTAGTTAGTTTTATTCACGAATAATAGATCACGTAAATGGAATTCAAATTCTCATTGCAGCAGAAAATGCGCACTTTATGTTTTCAGTTTTTCTTTATATATTTTGTACATGTATAGTAGATAATTTTTTAGATTTAGCAATTTGTTCAGATAAATTGTTAAAATCCTGCAAACCTTGACACTTTTGCCCGGTTTCAAGACAAAATCACGTGGAAACGTGTAAACAATTTCTTTTTTCCCATCAATTTTTCTCTTCAGTTTCCATTCACCAATAGGTTCTTCTTTTGCTCGGTGCGTATTTTGAATTGTTATATAAATGCCATCCGCTGATGTTTCCTACAGCAAATTATTATCTTATTTTATACTTTGAACTTTTTTGTATTTTTGTGGGATATTGAAGTTGTGATAGGTGAATAATTTTTGTAAATACAAAATTATTTAAGTTAAAAATTAAAAAAACAAAGGACCTGTATAGAAACATTTCCTTTGGCAGATCGCTGGAATGAAGTTCGAGAAGCAGCCTCACCTTTCATTACTCGCATGGTTTCTACAAATGATACTTAGTCAAAAGATAGTCACTTTCTAACATGAAAATCAAGTTTACTGCTAGAATAACTTCTGCTATTGATCAATTGATTGTAATAAAAATGAATCATAATCGATTTATATTTTCTGTAAATATTTTCTGTAATTTTTTTATTTTTTTGTTCTTTTTTCGTTTTTCGATGAAAAAATAAGGTAGAATTCTATTCTTATTTTTTTAATTTCTGAATATCATAATTTTTTTTGAGTATATCAAAAACAAAGTTATTTTGAATTACGATTTCTTACAGTATTCCATTAAATTTCAGTGCACTTCAAGTTCTGTATAAAAATTAAACAGTTTACTGTTATATTTTTCATATTGTAAAATAAATCTCATTGGAATGCAAATGAAGTTTAATAGTTCAATTGGTTAAGTGTTATATTTACCAGTATCCTCACGTTGAGTTAACTCATGAGTACGCACGACTTGCTCTACAAGTTGACGTAATCCCGCGCGATTCTCTTCTCCTTCTAGCATCTTACGATAAATTGCGATTTCAGCATCTAACGTCTAAATCTGTCTTATTTACAAATTATCTTCCAACTCTCAATTCTCATCAAAATATAATTCATTGAATGAATTCCTCAATAGAATCTGGAAAAATATCTGTGTATCTGTATGTGTGTAATATCCGTGTCTCTAAAAAAGATGCTAGATGACGTAAATATCGTAAAGCCAAAATCAACTCCAAAATCGAAATTAACATTTTAACTTATAAAAATTATTTTGATCAATTACAGTATAGGTATCGATTGATTTTTAAATGTTTTTCAAGGATTAAACCTGTTTAGTATCAAGTAACATTTGCAGTTCGACCATCAGTGCTTGGCATTCTTCACGCATTTTTCTAATCTGTGCGTCACGATCGTTCAGAGCTGCTTCATAAGAACGTTGATCGTCTTCTAGTTGATAGTTTAGTTCTTGAATTTGCTTTTCAAGCAGAGAATTCTGCAATTATTATTGTACAAAGAGGCAATTTTTATTGTATAAATAGGCGATTATTGTAATGTTTACAGGGAAAATCTACGTAAAACTTATTTATTTATTTGTCTATCCTTTACATCTTTCCATTTTAATTCTTTAATAAAATCTAAAATATTTGATTAAGTTTTCTAATTTCAGATTGCTAAAATCACTGGCAGTAATTAAAATTTCGCAAATTAATAATTGAATATTTTTTAGATATTAGTTGTCGAAAAATTAAATCTATTTCATTGGCGCGAGAAATACGATGATCCAATTGGAATTTGTTTTCATTTCTTAAGGCTGATCATATAACTCTTATCAAGCATAATTATAAATTAAGTTAATTACTTTTTTCATTTTCATAATTTAGTTTCTAAATTTTGTTTTTATTTTCATCAATTCAGCATTGTTTGAAAAATGTGCTTTTTTAACCTTTTTGGAATTTTTGAATTTGGTCAAAACAATCAAAAAATAAAATTTTTGAATCCAATTTTGAGCCCTATGGTATTCAAATTAACCCACCAAGTAGCTGATATAGCTGACCATTTATGCAAAAAGTTAGAATAAGCTTCATAATTATCAATATAATTCACAATTAAA